TTCGTGGTTACGTGCAACTTGTTACGTAAAATTTTTCTCTCTGATCACTACAATATTTCACACGTTACAAACCAGTTACTCACTATTCCGAGTTGCAAATTGAATATTTAAAAATCACTTAAAAATCACAGTAACATATTTCATTTTATAAATCTCCATCGACGAGTTTCTTCAAAATTTCATTCATCACGAGAAATAAATATTTCTATCGTTCACATTATCTTGTCTAGAGATCCCCAGAATTGCAAGCACATTTAAATCGCAAATTTCGAGAAACTCGGAATGATTTCAATTTCGATTGAAATCCAAACTTGAAAATATTTCTGTCTGCTGTTACTTACCATAAGCTGCGACTGCAAGGCAGAGTACAATCGGAAGGGTCAGCGTGTACATGTTGAGATGTATCGGAATACTGTAATTGATTGATACCTCTGTTGTTCAATTTATATACGCTCGGAGAAGCGTACGTCGTGTTGATAAGGATAAACAAAAATATACGATTTTTATCGCGAACGCGAATAAGCGCATCTACAGAGATTAACTTTTGAGATATGCGAAAATTGAGTAGCTTTGATTATTGAAGACAAGATAGTATCAGTATCGCCGATTATTGAATTCTTTTCTTTTTCTCTCACTCCTTGAAAAGAGGAAGCAATTAATCTGGTAACGAATATAAACTAAACTCGATACGGTTCCCCTTCTCCTTCCACGCTGGTAGATCGTTTCTAATAGACTTCGTGTGAAAATTTCAATTGATAATACGTGATAATACAATCTTTTAATTATTGCCACTTATGAAACGGCACGGCCTATCAATTGTTTAATTAGGATATTATCTGACTTGATAAAAAATATCGTATACCAGTAACAAGTTCTGCGCGACCTGCTTTAACTTACGAATATGTAGTTAGAACACTAATGTGCAACACGTAGATTGGGAAGAAGTATTGGATTGTGTCCCGTGTGACAGTAATCGAGTGAAATTGATCAATTTGTATTTAACGATTCGATCGGTAAAGTAGGGAGATTTTTAGTGAATATCAAATTTAGCCCTTTATCAGTGTCTATTGATGTTTCGAAAATTTGCTCGCAATATTCTGTGCTAGCGTTTTCGCGTATTTAGTACTTCATTTAATACTTAATATTATTCTTTACGCAATTTCATCTTACGGGGAAGAATTTATCAATTTTATTGTAGGGGATTTTTGTGTGGAGGGATAGTGAACTCGAACGGACTTTTGACTATAATATATTTATTAATAGTTTATATCGCTACGCTAGGGATGTCGCTCAATCAATCGCTGGATTCACACTGCCTTTCGCTCCCTCGCATTCGCCCTAATGTCGTCTTGCATACATGTACACTTTTCCATAGAAGAAAACACACACGTACTCACGCACTCCTCGCCTGATTACTAAAACTAAACATTCGTTCAATATCGTTCGCGCTATCCCAAACACTCGACCTGGCACGCCGGTCCTTACCGCTCACGCCATAGACCCTCACGCATTCACACAGACAACGCATTCATACAGACACGCACTCACGCTCGGTTATCCCTACATTATAATATTTTTTATAAGAAAATAAAGAAGATAACGTTGTGTGATTTGGTTGTAACGGGAGAGATTTTCGTGGATCCCGATAACGATTCGGGATTTCGGTACTACTGTTGTTTATGGCGTGAGCGATGCCCGCGCGTGCGGGGGCTAGTGTTTTGTTAGACGGTCAGAGTCTTTGTCCAGACCACGCTGCAATTACACGAGCGCGTCTCTGATATTAAGAACAGGTTATGGGCGCAGAGAATGGCGAATCGCAGAAACTGCGAAGCTCGGAAAATCGCGAATAACGTAGGCGAAAAGTGTTCGTACGATATGTACATTCTTGATTGAGTCCGGTGCGTGTGCCTATAAGCGCAAAGTGAACAATGGCGAGTCTCGTGAGAATCGAAACTCTCAACAAGGAAAACTACGACACGCGGAAAATTCAAATGCGCGCGTTACTAGTGAAAAACGACGCACGGTGCTAAGTTAGCGGTGAAACGAAAGCTCCGACAGCGGTGGACAACGACGCAGCGTCGGAAGCGGCATTCCGCACATGGTCCACGAAAGATGAAAAGGCAACATCCGACATATTGCTGTCGATTAACCCGTCGGACTTGAAGCAGATTAAGGGCTGCGGAACATCAAGCGAGATATGGCAAAAATTGGAAAGAATATACCAGCCGCGGGGTCCTGCGCGTGAAGCTGCGCTCCTCAAGAAGCTGACGCTACAGCGCATGAGTGAGGTCGAAGATGTTCGCGAACTCCTCCGGAAATTCTTCGACGTGGTAGATAAATTAAACGAGATGGACATTGATATTAATTCGGATCTACTGGCAATTTTGCTATTATACAGCTTGCCACAACGTTTCGAAAATTTTCGCTGTGCGATTGAATCGCGTGACGAGTTGCCGTCCCCCGACACTTTTCGAATTAAAATTATAGAAGAAAACGACGCGCGAAAAACTGAAGTGCGCGATGCAGTGCCGAACGCCATGATCACCGGGAATACGTGAAAGTGAATCACGGAAAAGGAAACAATTATAAAAACGCGGACAATATTAGCGGAGATCACTCGAAAACGAGGTATTTTCGGTGTCGAAAAATCGGTCACGAGGCATCCGAATGCCACAAAAAAGATGGAAATTTTCGGCAATCGGCCAGGGTTGCTAGCAGTGATACCTGTTTTCGCGGCGGTGAAGATCGAGCGCGTTGACAACGAATTACATTCGCAACCGGCGCCCATCGAGAGTTTTAGACGGAAAATCTCCTTTCGAAAAATTATATAAAAGGATACCAAACGTGAAATATTTCAAAGATTTTGGATGCGACGTGTATCAGCTGATTAACGGTCCGAACAAGGGGAAGTTTGTGCCCGCGATCGCGAAAGGGCATTTTATCGAATATTTCGTGAACTTTAAGGGGTATGGAGTATGGCAACTTGAAATCGTTGGAATGTTAGCTAACTTAACATTGTACTACGTGCTATATAATTTTTTTAATACTTTTCGCTAATATACTACATTTGAGGAAGGCGTTATCATTGATGAAGGATTACATTACAGAATAGATCAATGCTCTTTGATAATATGGATAAGTCGATAACTAGTGTTTCCCAGCTGATTAACGGTCCGAACAAGGGGAAGTTTGTGCCCGCGATCGCGAAAGGGCATTTTATCGGATATTTCGTGAACTCGAAGGGGTATGGAGTATGGCAACTTGGAATCGTTGGAACGTTGCCTATCTTAACATTGTGCTACGTGCTATATAATTTTTTTAATACTTTTCGCTGATATACTACATTTGAGGAAGGCGTTATCATTGATGAAGGATTACATTACAGAATAGATCAATGCTCTTTGATAATATGGACAAGTCGATAACTCGTGTTTCCTTACAATTTATCGACAGGAAACTGAATTACCATAAGTAGTGTGCAAATTCTTAATCGATACTACAGAAGAGGTATCTATGATAAAAGCACAAACGATATAAAGTTGACTATTCATTTGATGTACTTTTTTGTCACACGACCAAGGGGATCTAGAATCCTGTTACCGTAATCCTACTGTATCGATTAGGACTGGTATTATATCACTGCGCTTCTAGTGGCAGGAATTGAAATTAAGAACAGTTGGCATTTATTATTTTAAATAACGAAGGAGCCTAAATTTCAAATCTTAGGATTAATCAAAATGGATTCAGCCATACACATTTGCATTTTGAGATCCAAGGGTGTATTGGCAACATAGTAACAATGTACATACCACCTTTATCGATTGTTTTGCATGATGCAGTTCTTATAATGACCGTGTAGAGTCCGCTTCAAAACCAATAGTTACGGACGACGTCGGTATTTCAGATCGAGTAACAAAAACTCCCATAAGAAGATTGATCTATACTATATCATCTCGTTTGTGGTTATATTCAGTACCAAAATATTCCAGAGAGATGATGTGTTCAACTAATACTCGGTTCAACTGGTAGGTGCCCTCACAAGGTCAGAGATTGCATTAAACAGAAGGTTACAATTGAAAACGATCAAACATTCAAGTAAAATTTTGATTACATTACAGAATAGATCAATGCTCTTTGATAATATGGATAAGTCGATAACTAGTGTTTCCTTACAATTTATCGACAGGAAACTGAATTACCGTGAGTAGTGTGCAAATTCTTAATCGATACTACAGAAGAGATATCTATGATAAAAGCACAAACGATATAAAGTTGACTATTCATTTAATGTACTTTTTTGTCACACGACCAAGGGGATCTAGAACCCTGTTACCGTAATCCTACTGTATCGATTAGGACTGGTATTATATCACTGCGCTTCTAGTGGCAGGAATTGAAATTAAGAACAGTTGGCATTTATTATTTTAAATAACGAAGGAGCCTAAATTTCAAATCTTAGGATTAATCAAAATGGATTCAGCCATACACATTTGCATTTTGAGATCCAAGGGTGTATTGGCAACATAGTAACAATGTACATACCACCTTTATCGATTGTTTTGCATGATGCAGTTCTTATAATGACCGTGTAGAGTCCGCTTCAAAACCAATAGTTACGGACGACGTCGGTATTTCAGATCGAGTAACAAAAACTCCCATAAGAAGATTGATCTATCCTATATCATCTCGTTTGTGGTTATATTCAGTTCCAAAATATCCAGAGAGATGATGTGTTCAACTAATTCTCGATTCAATTGATAGGTGCCCTTTCAAAGTACAGATTGCATTAAGAAGAAGGTTAGGGATTGTATTGAAAAGAACGCTACAATTGAAAACGATAAAACATTCACGTAAAACTTTTTTCCTGAAAAACTGAAACAGTTTCTGGATATTTTAAGATAATTAGAATTTCTTGTGGACAAGTCTATGTGCGTTCAAAATTAATTCAAACATATCCCTTGCGCATATCGCAGTGCAAATGAACTGCGAAAAATGTGTATTACAATAATACCAACATATTTACTTCTTCTTACATCAGAATTTTATTATTAATGAAAATTTTTTTAGTTGTTCGAAATCTAATTCGTTAACTTCTGTGTTGAAAATTAGAAAAAAGAATGGACCAGGTCTCGAGAAAGTAGCTACTTTTTAATAGCATTTAAAATTGACCACAGAAATAGAAATAAAAATTAAAAGTAAATCTATAAAAGGATTTTTAGTCTTTCGAAATCTGATTCTTTAACTTCTGTGTTGTAAATTAGAAGAGGGTATTAACGAGGTCTGAAGGTAGTAGCTACTTTTTCTTCAAGAAAGTAGCAATTTTGATGATAGAATTACGAATCAAAATGAAAAGTAAAATGCAGTAAGTGTACTTACGTTGCATGCACCTTCGCCGACTTTAGTGTAAGTGCAAATGTGTGAATCCCGCACTCTCCAGTGGGCCTTCTTGCATTTTGCCTGGGTTTCAATGACCAAGTCGATCATTTGTAAGTTGTTTGGTACATTTCCTCCCACCTGTAATAGAAATTTACAGGAATTGATTAAAATTAATTGAAAACTGCTCAATGCTTCCTAGTAAGATAATAGAAAACTGCTCAAACTTTCAAGTGTGATAATTGAAAACTGCTCAATGCAAAATTTCAAGATTTCTCAAATTTAAACTGAAAGGTTCAGTTCACAAGTGTGAACACACTTTTGAACGAAAGTGTCCATATTTCTCGATACTTACACGTGTGGTTCCCCATCCAGTCAAGACGCATGGTGATCCTTCGAAGGTGCCGCTGGTAGCCAAACTGATTGGTTTCACCAAGTTGCTGAACTTGATGTCCCTGTCCACGCGAATCACAGCAACGTCGTTAACAAGGCGGGTCGAACTGAACCCGCTATGTGCGACGATTTTCTGCACTCCGTAGGATTCTCCACCTGATTTCAGTTGGGTTGTTCCAACGTGAACAGTGATATCTTTCACGTTCTTCAGTCTGTCGGGCAAACGTGTCACCTTTTATTGAAATCGTCAGCGATCAACGATCATCTTGAATAAGAATCGTGTTAACCAAGTATTCGAAAGTGCAAGGATATTCTAAAAATTCTTATATTCGTTCAGAAGAATACGCAAGACTTTACAAGAATATACAGATTATTTTATTGGGTAATTTAACTCTTAATCGAGAATATAACTGTGTTAGATGCTTTCTCTAACTTTCTTTTTCACGGTATCCACGTGAACCACTGTCCCTTTCAATTAAGACTTTTTCATAAACAAGCTAATTAACTAGCACGTGTGTCTCAAAGGCCACCAATACAAATTAAAAAACTAAAAAAATTAAAAAATCGAATTCTCAGGAAAAATCATCTCCAATCTCTCAATAACGAATAAACGTTCTGAAACGCACACCCCCATAGCAGAACACATTTCACCGATAATATACTAACCCATGAGCGCGCACTTGAATCAGAAAAAAGAAATTTAGAACCTTAGACGATAATTTTCACACTAATCTCGTATCTCTTTAGTTAGTACAGATGAGGACGATTTTTCATTTATCCAAGTATTGGATTTGTCACTTTTTTCAGTTCACGACAGTGTCTGGCTGCTAAATGACGTTTCAGGATGAGAAGTCACTAAATTTATTATGTCCTATGTATTTGTCTGGAATTTTTTGTGAGTAACTGTAGTCACAGGTAGATATCAGGTCATTCTATAAATTCATGACGAATTTTCAATATTTCCAACGAATCTTTAAATTTGATTTAAAAAAAGCGTAAGTTTTTTCTCATTCTACAACTCTTTTCTATTTTATTTTAGTAGTACTTCCTTGGATTTTCGTTAAAATATTTTTCACTTTCGGCACGAACTTATGGGATAACTTAATGCATAATTGAAGGCGTCGATACACCGATCCGGCTACTAATATCGATAATACTTTTGAGGAAACGTACCCTTCGACGCAGTGAGCAGCAGTGAGGATGTCACGCTGACTCAAGATGGATCCACCGCAGAAGTGGTTTCCATTGTATCTCAGAGACACTTGGTAGGGAAACTTACCAACTGGAGCGTCTTTGCCGCCAACTATCTGGCTTCCAGGGAAGCCTGATTCGAGAAAATC